AGAACTCTCTTTATCTATTATATATTAGATAGATGTTAATAATTAACAAAGATAAAGTAAATAAGAAACGATAATTATTTGAGTTAATTAGCTGAATAAACTAAATGGGAATGGAAATTAGCAAAATGACTACGGGTCCACCTAAAACAAATCATACTGTGCCCATGGTTAGTGGTAATGACAATGTTACCCCGCTGATATTTTCCCTCAAGTTGCAAAAAGGCGTCTGACATGTATCACTATGTAGTTATAGACTGGCTATGAGATTTTGTAGAGTAGGGGCGATATCTCTGCGTTAACGAGAGCCACATACAATTTTTGTGCTGAATGAGCATTAAATGCGAAGATATGTGTAAGATTGCTTCGATAATTGGTCGTATATGCAATATATGTGTGTATGTAAAGGACACTAGGGTTTGTTGGTCTGCTATATAAGGAGTTATCGTTGGCAACAGACAGAGCGTCGGTGAACAAGATTAAAAGCTAAAAATCACTTAGAACAAAAGAGGTTAAAAGAGAAGGAGATTAAGAATAACCAGTTCACTCTCATCCAAAGAAGGTAAGAACACGTGAGCTTATAAAATAGATCGTGATGGTCCTACATTTATTGTCGGGATGCAAATCTGGAAAGAACGACTCTATTGCAACACTTATTGTATCCTCGTACAGCTTTTATGAAGGGGAATGAAATCTAATTAATGTGCTAGTATTTGTAGATTCCATTGTTTGTGTTGAACATATGTACCCTCTCTTGTTAGCCTCTAACAAAATGTTTTGACCGATAAACAGTACCAAACATGGGACGTGTTGTAAGCTTTGTTTGTGGAGTGTGGAAGAAAACTGCTGCTGGAGAATGGTATTTCCAAGAAGATTCAAACGAGACTGCGTACGGGATGGTGGTGCAGGAGAACGAGACATTTGAAACCCTTGACGGCATGGTGAGGGAGCGCTACAGGATACCAAAGTATGAGATGATGGAGCTTACCTACAAGCTATCGATGCAATGGTGGGGCCTTTAGGGAAGAAAACGCCACCGCAAGACATCGCTACCAACGGCGACGTCGAGCTATTCATGGCCGTCAAAGTCGATTTCGATCTCACTGCTGTTTATGTTACTCTCAGAGTTTACAATGTAGAGCGATACAAGTTCCAGAAACATCACAACCTGACTGTTGGAGGTCCCCCACCTGGTTTCAAGGGGGTACAACCAACATTTCCGCGTCCGTTTCAAGTTACACCGGTAATAATCATGTTAACGTTAAAATCGAAAAATTATCTAGACTAACTTGTGGGGGACTTGACGATGTTAAAAACTTTTGGGAAGGGGTTGTCGAGGGACCTGTATTCCATATTGCAGAGAGTGTGGCAAAGGATATTTTCACCAACGAAGAAAGGCGTGTCCTGGAGGAAATACACGACGCTATGACACGGATGGAGAACTCTTTAGCAGATGCCAAGGGAGGGGGCAACAGTTCGTCTAGCCACTCGTCTGGGGACTTGTGTTTGATGCTCCCAGATACAAGTTTGAACATCACTACCATCGGAAATATTGACGGCGACCCAGACACAAGAGTGCAGCCGTCAGGTATTACCGCAGGGGTTGCACACCTCTCCATTCAATCGTTAACATGTGGAGGTACACGTCTACATTATGTATTAGACAAGTACGTGTTTTCTTAGGCAACTAATTATTTTATGTCCTACCAATCTATATGTTATTGCATCATGGTATAATAACCCCGCGATGTCGTTGGGGTCTACGAGTGAGGGAAAGGTGCCAGCCCGTAACTGGACGGATAAAGGCAAGGCGAAGGTGGACCAGGATATCAATGTTGAACCGCTCTTGGGGTTATCGATGAATTGCAGTGGAGGACCTAGTAGGATGCAACTCAAAAAACCTGACTCCGGAGACGATTAACCTTTAGACGAGGAGTGCGACTACATTGGTACATTGTTAATATTATTTTTAGTGTGTTAACTTTATTGTTGGACCCCTACATGTAAAGTTAGATATGTAAGCAGTCTATCATATGATGCAGGGGACAGTGTTAACAAACCAGGCATTCTCTATGTGGGGATGGTGTTCAAGGACCAAGACGCCTTCAAGCTTCATATGTCTCTGTACGCAATGGCTTAAAAGTTCCAGTACTATACCCGCAAGTCCACACCGAGCAGAATGGACCTTGAATGTGTCGGGCATAACTGCTCATGGAGTGTGTACGCCGTCAGGATGGAAGGCATAGAGTGGTTCCAGATTCGCCGTGCCAGGCTCGACCATAACTGTACCATTGACGAACGAGGGTGGTTTCACGTGCAGGCAAGGACAAGTGTGATTGGCGATTTGTTTAAAAACAAATACGCCGGTGGGGAAGGACCAAAACCTAATGAACTCATGCGTGATGACCATGACGTCCCCATATCATATTGGAAGGCGTGGAGGTCCAAGGATTTGGCAAGGGACAGCGGTTATGCGTGATGATTAACGTTTAAGTTAACCGGTTGCACTTATGGTTGTTTACATTGAGATACTTTGTGGCCTTTGACACTTATTGCCATGTTTCGTTAACATCTCATTTGTACCATTATACATATAGTTAGCATGTCATCCATCATATTAGTTGTGTATCTTATGTCCGACTATAAATTATCTGAGGTTATCTAATACAATAGTTAGCAGGGGTAACATATGTATTAAATGCTTAACTTTTAAGTTAAACGAGTGCACTTATGGTTGTTTACATTGAGATACCTTGTGGCCCTTGACACTGATTGCCATGTTTCGTTAACAACACATTTGTACCGTTATACATATAGTTAGCGTGCCATCCATCTTATTAGTTGTGTATCTAATGTTTGGCTATTAAAGTTCTGTTTTCGCTCGTGTACATGTCTTGTTAGCGGTTTTAGCACTTAGTTAGCGGCCGGTGAAACATGGTTAGTAGCGTTAACATATAAATTAAATAATTACCACTTACTTTAATCTGTATCAAATATGGTTGTTATTATTGCATTAACTTGTGGCCCTTGACACAGTTTGCCCTGATTTTGGTAATACCTCATTTGTATCCTTACACATATGATTAGCGTGCATTTGGTCTTGTTAGTTGTTTATCTTTAGTTGGACTATACAGGATCCGACTTTTACATGTTTATATATTGTTACTAGCTTCAACACTTAGTTTGGGTGTCTATCTGTTTAGTTAACTGGATAAAATATAGCTGTGAACGTGTTCTGTTTCTTGTCTTCTGATATTTATTGAACTTTAAACGTTAACCTATCAGTTGTACGGTGATATATATGTTTATCATGTTATAGATGTTGTTGCCTCTATACCTTTTTCCCAAAATGATAAGTCAACTATGTTCTGGTTTTAGGTGTACCCCATGGCTCGGCATTGTGCCTGTATTGTTCATCTCCAGCATAACATTCAGACAATCTTTAAGAAGAAGCACCTTAGCTACCTGGTGTCTCAGGCAGCCAGGGCATACCTACCCTCCCAATTCTACGACCTGTTTGAGCAGATTCGTTCTGTTGACTCAGGCTGTGCTGACTACTTGACCACTATCGGATACGAACACTGGACTAGGTCGCACTTCAAAGGACTCCGATACAATATCATGACCAGCAATGTGGCTGAATCCCTCAACAATGTGCTTGTGGCGGCATGAGATTACCCAATTGTGCCATTGATCGAGTACATTAGGGCGACTCTGATGGGGTGGTTCAACAGTCGTCGTGCCCTTACTTCAGAGACAAATAACACTCAAGCCCCCAAGATAGAGGAGATACTAGCTAGCAACTTAACTGGATTTTTGTTTTGTTGGATTAACCAGGACGAATTCGAGATACGGAATAAAGAAGGTGAGCCTTCCTTGTTAACCTCGAGACGCAGTCATGCAGCTGTCTCGAATTCCAGACGTTGAGGATCCCTTGCTGCCACGCTGTTGTCGCGGCTTTGAGATCTGAAACACAAGTTGACTCCTTGGTTGGGGTTGAATACACTACAGCTTTCTGGAATAAAGCTTACGAGTGCAGCATCTATCCCGTTACAATGTCTACACCAACTCTCCCAGTGGGCGACGAATTCTCTTCTCTGAACCTTAAACCACCTAACACACGTCGTCCCCCAGGCAGGCCACGCAAATCGTGCATCCGTTCACGTGGAGAATGCGGGGTAAAACGCATAATTCTAGTCCATTATCTTCACAGTTATCCATCCAATACATGTTTTGTCTCGCAAATAATTGTTTTGGTTATAAAACATTTTTCTTATACTGTTACAGGGAGGTTTGCCAAGGCGTTTGGTTGTCTGTGGACGTTGTGGTGGCTTCGGCCATAATCGCGTGTCATGTAAGGCGCCCATATAGCGCCAATAAAAGGAGAATGCGGGGGGTTAGGGGAGCAAATCAAGCTATGCAGTATGTTACCTTTTTTTTTAACTGCATTTATCGTTAATGAACCTGTATGGCTGGCATTCTGTTATAACTATGTTATCAGGCTTTGTATTTTCTAAGCAGCTCTATTTCAGTTTCCTGTAAAATACTTTGTAATATGATCTCCAATGTTGCCCCTCAATATAAACTTATGTTATTTACCTTGTCGTTTCGAACATTTACTATTATTTCAATAGTCTCAAGATCCAATCTCTTCTAACACAAAATTTAATCGGTTTCGGATAACAAAAGTGTCTGCAGCACTAATTAAAGTGTCGGATAACAGAACATGTTCGGATAACAAAAGTGTCGGATAACAAAAGTGACAGTGGGACTTATTAAAATGTTGGTCGTCTATTGTTTGACATAGCAATGGTAACAAACTGATTAGCCCCTGATTGACTAGTGTTATTTAAAAAAAAACTAGACACCTCGTACATGTTCACATAAATTTAGGAAACTCAAACAAGTCTATAAAAGGAAATACATTCCTCGCAATGAATAAAGTTCAAGATGAAGACGTAACACACATTAGATGTTTCACTTAAGAGGGGACGTCAAACTCCTCAAAAAACTTGACAGCCAACACCTGAGACTCCTTGGCCATCTTCTCGGGTGTGAGCGTCTTGCAACGATCCAATCCCTCCCACAGAGTGGAACATTATGAGGAGGGCTGTTGTTACACCAGAGTCAGACATGATGGAGTTCTGCGGAATGCCCTTCGGTCGATGGATAGAGAACGGTTTCGCTTTGCTAACTCGTTTGTTAGCCGAACTCTGTCTAAGTACATGTGGAAACATAAGAGACATCGGGGCCAACTCCTTCTTTATTGCGCCATCCATCCTCAGTGAGCAGTTGCAATCAATTACGGTCATAGTTCCCGCAATGGTGTCAACAGCAATGTCAACCCAATGGTCCCTGTCAAAATTGAAAGGCAGGTACAGGCGCTCAGGTGGAGGGAGATCTACACTGTCGAACTCAAGATGATCCATTACACAATCCCCAAACTTGAACCTATGTCGGTCTTTCACAGCCACCTGGGAAAATTTTTTCCATGACTTCATTAGGGCAGTCGTAAATTTGGTTTCAAGAAAGACAATCTTGTTCAACTGAGGCTTGGAAAAATGTCGAACATATACTGCGCGGGCGTATAAGAGGAAGGCGTCCATCATCTACATAAAGAAAAAAAAATTATGGATGTATTACAAAATGTTAGCGTCTAACAATCAAGTTATACCCTAAACATCATTGTTTGTCTCCCGCAAGATTGAAAACAGCCATATCTACGTGAAATGATAAACAATACCTTGGGCATCATAGGCTTTGTCCTATCAGAAATCTCAAGTACTTCCTTGTTGTTAACAGAGATTCCGCTGCCAAGGCTGATGAGCCTGTTCATTATAAAAAAACGTCAACAAAGTTTTTTTTTAGTGTAAGAAAAAATTTTACATAAAATGAGGACTCACCGGTAATTCTGCAATATCCCGTGCAACCGAGAAAACTTTGTAAAATACGCAGACTGTTTGTCAGGGTGGCATATGAAGGGGTGGCTACCCAGGGTGCATGATACCCACTTGGGGTCTACATGGAAATCATTAAACGATGTATGCACTCGGGCCCTCTTGCCACGCTGAGGGAATTCCCCTTCATCCCCATTATCCTGAGCATGATCGCCGCCATCTCTCTCGCCTAGACCACCATCATCCTGGTCACACAATGACATGAGAATGTAAACGCAAAACATAATCACAGGTAACATCACCGACGTAGTTAACCGGACATCTAGACCAACTGACAAGTATGATAGACAGCTACACTATCAAGTATGCGTGCAGCTAATAAAGAAAATAACCACTGACAACATCTCCGATATAGATAACCTGAAACTTAGTCCATCTACCAATTATGTTAGACCACTACACTACCATATATCGGTGTATGTAATTTGTAAGACAGTTAAACGTTTTTTTGTTCACACCTATATTCTTGCAAAAAGCTTAGAACTTACTTGTCCCTCCGTCTGAATTTCGTTAGTTTCACCGACCTCTGAACTAAAGGCGGCCATTCCTTCGCCCCTCTGCTGCTGAACATCGTTGGGTTTATCGGCATTGATGTTGGAAGCCATCGCAACGGCCTCATTGATAACTGCATCAGCCGTAGCCTTGTCATGTGCCTGGTTCGTACCACTTCTAGCCCCTGCCTGAAGCCCATTGTCAGACCTGTTCTCGAACTCACGTGCCGTGGATCTCTCTCTCGGTGAATCATGCCTGTTAATTCCGGATATGGATTTCCCCAAAAATTCAAGAATATTCTTAATAACTTTCTCCTGCATTGCGGTGAACTTTTGTACTATAGCGGCTGTCACCGACGTTCCAAGAGTGGACAGACTTGATTCAAGTGTCGATATTTGGTCAATAGCGGTTGACATCTTAAGCTCAAAAGGTATCAATTCCGCCTTCACCGACGCCGACAATAATTCGGCAAGATTGTCAGGTACTGCAGAGTTTGTAGCATGGGCGCCGGTTGTTGTTACATTTTCTTGGGCCCTCTCCTTCTCCCTCTCCTTTCGCTCCCTGATTTCTTTCCTCTCCAGTCGCATCTTCACCAACTCGGCCTGGGTCAACCTACCCTTAAACATATGTTTGCGGAATTCGATGTCCTCCCCAATCAGGTGTAACATATGTTCAACCCCGGGATCGTCTTCATCGTCGGACCAGCTAAAGTCTTTACCCTCCGTACCAGCATCTGTATCGTCGGGGATAATGCTAAAAATGCCGACCTACATTTAATGTTAACCAAAAATACTATTGTTGGGTCGTTAACATAATTTTTAACGGCTATATAATGGATTGTTGCCCACTAAATAGGTTAGAGTTTGTGTTGGTACCTTGCATACTTCGTCGATGTCCCTCGCGTGACTTGGGCTAAGTCCGACCTTCGTCGACGCCGTCCGTGCCGCTGGTTTGGGAACATTTCTGTCACTCTCACCATCCAAATACCATCGGTGTTGGTGTTCTCTTGCAAGATAGCAGTGCCGGCATCCTCAGACTCACCATCCTCGTCTTCCCCCTCGGTTTCAGATTCAGACAACGACTCGTTCAGCTGAACAACCTCCGTTAACGATGGACATGCCTCCACCAACACCAGCTGTATCGCGTGAAAAAAAACCTTTAACGGCTACCGTACTTTGAGCGAGTGCAACTTCATCTTTAGACTTGATGCTGGACATCAACATCTCGAACCCCACTCGACCCCACGGGTGCGCGAAAAACTCGTCGAGACTTCTAATCAGCTCCACGTGTTCAAAGACAATTTTGGACCTATGGTTTGTGGGGCATAAGACTGCTCCGGTGATAGCGAGGCAGGCGTATTTCAGCCTGATTTCACGGTCGACGACGGTCCTCTTTTTCAACATCTTGACTGCCAGGTCGATGCTACATGATTTTAGATTTCCAAACAAATCGGGCCAATAGGATTTCACCAGGACGGGGTTTCTCTTTTTCTTCTTCTGCTTCCTCGGATATTTTCCGCACGGCAAACCGGTGACTATCGCAAATTCCCTAAGAGAAACCCTAATCGGTTTCCTGGCGAACAGAATCCATATTTCGTATTTTTTGCTAACCTTAAGTAGCCGTGTGATGATAAAGTGTCCGAAACTGCCGGAGAATGCAGGCTTCTCCGCCATCGCAATGAGTTTCCCAAATGGTGATTTTTTTAGGAAATCTCTCTCCTCTTTGTCCAAGGCGCTAAGAATGTTGTTGATGGCCTTTGATTTGTGATAGCAGTTTATCCTCTCGCCGATTGGTTCTTCGCCGGCGGCAAAAATCCTCTCCGGTAAGGATGGTTCCATCTTCGGTTCGGCCTCTCTGTTGGTTTACAGATGCGTGGTACACTGTGTGCGGCAAAAATAAAAAGGAGTGATCTTTCTGAACCGTCGACTCGGTTGACGCAAAATACACACCTTTTGACCGGAAGGATGTTTCGTTTAAACAGTGGATGTATTGATTGCATGTATTATACTAATGTTTTATTGTTCCAGAATCTGACAAATTATTCACTTATGTCATATGTATGCGTTTAAATATGTAGGGGCTAATGCATATTAAAAAAAAGTAACAGTGTCCAATTCTGCCCTTGGTCATTTTTGCAAATACTTGTGGTGAGATGATCATTTGTTATAATTATTCTAATCATTTTTATCTAAAAGGATTTTATCTAAAAGGAAAAAGTGGATGTATAGTGGAGGCATATTAAGTTATCAGAAAAAGTTATGTACCTTTTATAATCCCCCTAATATTAATGTGAGATTAAAAAATGACTGAAAATAGCTGAAAATGACTAAAGAAATGACTAAAGAAAATAGTTGAAGGTAGGTCTGGAACGGAACCGGATATCCAGGCTTTTTAAGGTATTCGGATCTGAATCCGGATCCACCGGATAATCAAAATTACTATCCGGATCCGGATCCGAAAATCCTAAATATCCGAATACCAAATATTCGGGTTGAACCGAAAATTTACGAATATCCGACCAGATATCTGGTTTCGTTGATTTTTTTTTTAAAAAAAAGCTTTAATTTTTTAAAATTATAATGAGATAACATAAATAAAAATGTATCATCATAATAAAAGTTACAAATAACAAAATTAAAAAACATTCAAGTAGCATTCAAATAACACAAAGTTTAAAAGTACTTAGCAAAAAAAAATAGTAATAGAAAAGTTAATTTATCTTTATGTCCATGTAATATCTATTTTCATGTTTTTTTCTCACAATCTGAAATAGAAAATTATCATGCAATATGAATTTCAATCATATGTAAAGGAGTTAAACAAAAAAAAAATTTAAAGTTAATTTTTTAAAATAAATAAATAAATATTATCAAAAATAAATAAATATTTAACAAACGGATAACGGATATCCGGTTCCAAAATTTTTTATTATCCGGATCCATATCCGAAATAACCGAATACTTAATATCACTATCCGAATTCGGATCTGAATTACACGGATATTCAGTTTTTACGGATCGGATAGAACCGGATACCGGATCAGAAACCGGATACCGGATAATAATTCCAGGCCTAGCTGAAGGTTACACAGTGTTGAACTATATAAATTATCCAATATCCAAATTCCAATAGTGAAGGTTAAAATTTTTTTTAAAAACATTTATATTCAAATAGTGTTCTAAATACTTTTGGAAATTTTGATGAAGGGATAACGTTTGTTTTGCGTCCATAACGATGTGTAATTGCGTCATAAATTTTTTTTCTTTATTGTTAAAAGAAATCCAAAAAACAATCGTTGTTGAAATTAACCTAACAATTATGTTTGCAATATATTTTTTTGTTAAATAAAATTATATTTTCAATATAAAATGTTTGCAATACCCATTTTAAAAATAGAAAACAGGTTTAAAAAATAATCATTCACAATATGTTGAAATAAAAACACAAACACAAAAATTGTTTTTCTAGCATTTTCTAAAACCACCAGCACATTAAAAATACAACATAAAAATGAAAACAAAAATTGATATAATTATTGGGCATTTGAATCAAACCAAAACGAAAAAGTAATTGAAATGAAATCGATTATCTTAAATGAACCAGATGATTTTCAAACTCCTAATATAAAGACAGACAGAGGACTAAAATGAATCTGATTTTCTTTTGTAATTCAAGTATCTTTGTAAGCTATTTTTTTCATGCATATTTTTATCAACCAAGACATTTTTTACATGTTATCTAAGTACAGTTAAATTTTAACCGATGGAGACAGTCAAGTTCTGTCGGATCTGAGCTTAAATATGATTCAACGATATTGTTTGATATATATACTAAAAAAGCTATTAGTTCTTAATAGAAAATCGTATAAAAATATTGTACATTATTTTTTTTTCATTTATTCTGCAGTTACAAATTTCATGTGTAATGACAGAAAATGGATCGGAGGAATTTACGTGATGGAAACAAAAAGACATGATGATTACAAGAGTCCAACATTGTGTTGTTTTTTCTCTAATATTTTTTTTTTTGTAGATGCTTCCTTACTGATCTCTTGGGAAAATTATAGATCAAATCAAATGCGTGCATTTCATTATTCTCTTGTAAATTTGGTTGGTCTTTATTTTAATGGTTTTGTTTGATAATGACATTAATTGGGCTTAGGGTACTAGCTGTGATCACATGAATGCCATGTTATTCTTCACTGGAGTCATTTTACTTAGACAACTTCTTAATGTGTACACTCTTTAGCTTCTAGAAATGTCAGATACCTAACTCGAGGCTATCTCGAACTAGTCGTAAATATTGAGCTATTGATGCCCAAAAAAAAAAAAAAAATTTGAAAAAGCTGGTGTACGCCCACGGTTTTGTGACATTTAATTATATACTGCAAGGTTTTCAAGTATCTTTTTTTGTGTGTAAAATATAGTTACGATGCACGTTCATGATATCATTCTATCAATTAGTGGTCCTTCAGCCTCACTTTTTTGATCAGATATTGCTTCAACAGAATTCTGTTGTAGTTATTTACTCATATAGCCGTTTAAAAATATGTTGAAATGGATTGGATTGGGATAACTTAAAGATTTAGAAATATCACTTTTTTGGTATACAGATTTCATCGAAAGACCTAAGATTCAGTTGTCACTTGCACTACAAAAATAAACATGTGGATTTCCGTAGAGAGTATTTGATGAGATTCTTGATCAGAAATATTAGAAAGAAAAACCAAAAAAAATTTGATGAGAAAAAAAATTCTCGAATTTCTTTATAAATTTACGATGAAAATATTTTCTTTAGAAATGTTTTCTTAAATTTTCGAGAAGATAGGTTTTTTAGAAATTTTCCGAAATATAGTCCCATTTTTTTGAAGAAAATATTTTATGAATTTGTAGAAATTGTTGTCAGAAAAATGTCAGAATTTTTTTTTTTTTTGAGAAAGAAATTCGTCAGATGTTTTTTACCAACAATCTTTCTTGGAAACTTGCTGGAAGTTCGTCGAAACATATTTCTGATAAAATTACGAAGAAAGCTTATGTTGGAAATGATTTATATATATATATATATATATAATTCACCATTCACGTCTCTATCTCCAATTTTTCTTACAAAAACAAGATTCTGAAAAAATGTCTTCCACCAACTGGTACGAATTGTTTCGCAAGCTAAGTACGAATAAAAGACACATAAGCCAGATCCCAAGTGACTATGTGATCCACATTCACATATAGTGTTTACTGTTTACACATCCTCGAATCAAACACGAATCTATAACAAATTTTACGCATTCAATCCCAAATCCAAAACCACTGTACCATTTCCACGCACGGATTTTAGAAGTACCGCCTCGCTCAAACTAATACAAAAGGAATGTACGGTTTTCTAGCTGAAAAGTTGCATGGGATCAAAGTATATGTCAAATGAGAATCGATTTAAAGTTTATCAAAATTAATAAATCTTTTGCTTGGTAAAATTAATGGAGAACATATTTTAAAGTTGATAGCTTGTATATCAGAAGAAAGACTTTCCCTTGATAATTTATTTTTTATTTTATCAATTTTTTCTCTTGATGTAACAAGCATTTTTTTGAGGGAGATTACAGAAATATATATGTGAGTGAGGTACTCATGTAATAAATGCAGCATACATCTAAATATATATTATAGATTGGTCGTTACATAGTAAAGTGGGCAAAGTGAAAGAAGGATAAAAATATCTCATATATCTATATAATGTTCTCTCCTCTTATGATGCCACATCATTTTTTCAAACTCTAAAATTTTGACACATCATCAATTCATTTATTAATTTATAATTTATTATATTTTGTGTTATTATATTTTAATTCTCATAGTAACTATCATCCATTAATTTAACAAGAATATAAAAAGACACTCTTCATAAATAATAGTTTATATATTAATGTATTTAGTCATTATTATTTTAAATTATTTATTTTATTTATATGATCTATAGATATGTATAGCAAACCATAAAATTTTAAGATAGCCGGATTTGAATCCAGTTTTGCCAAATCCGAGAAACAAATTCTCGAATCCAAATTTTTTAATATCTAAAAATATCCAAATTCGTTTTAAAACTGATATGAAACACTAGAATATAACAAAAGACATAAATTTAAAGAAAATTAGAATAATATATTATATAATTAAAATACATATTAACGAGTTAGGAATATTTGTACGAGTTTCAAAAAGCTCGAGTGACAATTATATCATTTTCTATTTTAATTATTTTTGTTATTTGTAATGGAATATCATGTAATAATTTACAAAATAAAAATTCTTTTTTAAAATGACTACTTAAATAATAATATAAAGACGTGAGAATGCATATTTGTGAAACAAATTATAGTATCACAAAATGTTAATATGATCAATCTAATATTTGAAACATAAAATGAGTGAAGTTTCCTTTAAAAAATTATACAGAGCTCAGGTTAGAGATGTGACATTGAAAGTGACTAGAAAAAAAGAAAAACTTGGTTAGAGATGTGACATTGAAAGTGACTAGAAAAAAAAGAAAAACTTAAGAAATATAGAAATTTCAACCGGTCCAATATGTTGTGTGTGTTTCAACATATTGCATTGATGAGAGAGAGAACATGAGGGAGAAAAGGAGAGTGAGAGGGAAAAGGAGAGTGAGAGGGAAAAGAAGAGGGAGAGGAAGAGGAAGATGGAGAAGGAGAGGGAGAGGGAGATGGAGAGGGAAATAGATGTAGAAAAAAAGAGAGATTATGAATATATTTTGAAAATATGTTAGAGAATTGAGATATTTTTAAATAATTAATTGTCTATTACATATTTTTTTTTCCTGAATGCAACAATTAAGAATTGTATATATTTCAAAATCATAAACCTGCATAAATATAAAGATATCTACAAACTAAATTTGATTTGAAGTTTTAATTGATATATTATTTGATTATTTTCTAAATGTTGTATATAAAATTATTAAATACTATAAATATATATAAAATTTGAAATACAAAATCTAATGAAAAAAATTGATATTGTAGAGTTTTTTCTTATATATATCAATAAATACAATATAAAATTCCGTGCGAAACGCGGATCAGCTCTAGTATATTTATAGACCCCAATAAGTAAGAGTGCATATGTCACTTCAATCATTGCCGCTCAAAGAGTTGCAACTGAATTCTCTCTTTCTGTACAATTCTATTTTTAGTGGTAGTTCTAATTATAGCTGTCGTTTCCACTAATTACTGCGTTTGTGTTTGTACATGTGAATCGTATTTCACATTTGAAACAATATTTTTACTTTTACATTAGATAGTATTGTACCGGATAAACCCAAATGCTACATACAAAAGAAAAGTTATATTTTTATTTGCATTGTTTTTTATGCGTTTATATATTAAGAGGAAATATTTGAAAATCAAGAAATAATAAGATTTTTTCGAATATATATCCACTTGAGATATTTATGATTGCAGAAAATAAAGTAACAAATTAGTGATTAAATTATCGGAGTCCAAAATATTATCCCTACTATGGTGATGTTGGTTATGAATAAAAAATATGTTATGTTGATGGTTCTTGCAAACACTACAAAAAAAAAATATTGTTAAAAAAAATTGTGACTAATTGTTTTGTAACAATTTTGTAATGATTTTCATACAAAACTGTATTCGTTACTTGTCTTGTACTCGGCTTGATAAAATAAGTACTTGTTGTTGTCAAGTCGAGTAACAAGTCAACAAATTTTATTACTTGCAAGTACGAATCAAGTATCAAGTATCGTTTTTATTTTTAATACTTGTCTTGTTACTTGTCTTATTACTTGATACTTATTACTTATTAAAATAAATACTTGTTACTTGTTACTAAATACAACAAAATCTATAATAGTTATTAAAATCCAAAAATTAATCCCAAAAACTATCAAAAATTTAACAAAACTCTATTTGTTACAAATTGTATGGTGGCCTTAAGACTCATAATCACATATACATGAGCTTTTGATATTAAAGTTCAAAAACCCAAATGTAATTTACCATTGTCGATATAGGGTTGTTCTTAATATGCACTCAAGATTCAAGTATTAAGTATTTCAAATTCAATTATTAAGTATTCAAAATTTTTACGAGTACTTGTTATAACCGGATCAAGTACAAATAATAAATTTAATTATTTGAACGAGTCAAGCTAAGTAACAAGTACATGAAATTTAGCAAGTACTTGTTCCGTGCCCAGCCCTATCTTCCTCTCAGCCAAGGATCTCAGTCTCATCTCACCGCCTCCGATCAATCTTCCTCTCTTAGTCCCGACGCCATCTTCTCTCTTTCCATCTCAGATTTGATATCCTTCTCCAACGTGAATCGATCATTCACCAAGCGATAATGAGTCTTAGGGTTTTATTCCTCGCTCTCCTTCTCCTTGAATCTCCTTTGCTTTCGTTATGCTCTCTCTCTCTCCTTTTCCGTGAATTTAATAGATATAGATCAGTTTGTTTATAGTGGATTTTGTAGATCTAGTTCTACTGACGGCGGATGTGGCGGTTGGGTAATATGGGGCCGCATTTTCCGGTGCTGAGGGAGACTAAGAGAAAACGTGGGTTTAGGTTTTTGGAAGACGTTACAAAGAAAGGTTTTGTCTAATTTGCCTCTAGCTATCGCAGAAATGTTAACCATTGCTGCTCTCCATGGCTCTCAGTAAGTTCTAGGGTTTGGATTTTCCTTTCTGTAAATTAATTGATGCAGTAACTGATCGGAATCACATGTACGCTGCTCCTATATGCCTTGGGATGTTGGTTCTCTTAGCAGCTTCGCTTATGGCCTGCACTAATCAGATCTTTTTTTTCATGTAAACACTATGTTCTTCTCTTCTTTTCAGAATTATGCATTAAGTCCTAGTTGATAATCTCATAAAATTTGATTGGGTTTAAAATTTGATTGGGTTTAGTGTGAATTTGATCTATAATATGAATTAGAAGTGATTCCATTCCAATAGGTTTTGTGTTCGGAATCTAAATTTTAAGGGATTCAGATATGTTGTTGTATGTTCTGAATATATTAAATTTGGATAGATTATTACTATGATTATTTGCTGGTCTTTTGCGTATTGGATAAAGTCACATGAATTTTGATGTCTTTCTTCTTCAATATGTTGATTTTTTTACGAAGAAATGCAGAGGACAAATCTTGATTTAGAATCAGTGAAGGAGAAAATGAAGGAGAACCCGAAGAAGATTAAGTAATATCGTTGAGGTACTTTCAGTGACTATTGGCTTTGGTATTCCACTCTCATTAGTACCTTATATGAGATTTACTATGGTAAATAATATTCTTTTGTCGACTCACAGTATGAGGTTTTAGTTAAACTATGCTTTTGATTAGTAGTAGTGTTGTTCTAAACACACCAACTCATCAGGTGAAGTTTCAGATTCTCTTATCATTAGAGACATTTGCAATTATAATTTCTTTTATTTTGATACTGGTTTTAGAATTTTAGATATAGGCTAATGAAAATTTGGTTATAAATTTCTGTATCAGCAATTAAGCTAATGCATCTCATTTATGTGGACAAGTCGAGAAGACACAGTTTGCGGACTAAATTTTTTTGGGAATGCTCAGAGTGGGATGTGAAGCAAATGCATCATGTGGTATGCAAGACAATGAGCTGAGCGTGGACGACTTACGATTCTCGAAGACCAACATGATGTTTTGAATTTTTGATATATATTTTTCTTTTGAACAATTGTATTTTTTTTTGCTGTATTTGTTAAATTCTTTTAATTCAAATTATAAAAGCTAATTTTGTTGATTTAAATTTTGTTGAATTAAATTAAATATGATAGTAATTTGTAATAAAAATGTGACTATTTTTTTGTCACAATTTGTGGCCTAACTGTAACGAATTGTATCGCTTTTCTAACTATAATTTAGTCACTAACCATGACAGAATTTGTGATATTATTTTCGTTGCAATTTATGACGATTATGTGACTTAAATATAGTAATAATTTGTGATAAATATGTGATAATTATTTGTCGAAATTAGTTGCGTAATTGTAATAGTATTTTTCGACACGAACTGTGTCGTTTTTGTAATTGGGTAAAGGTCGTCACAAAATGTTACGAATTGTTACTATTTTTATTCGTCACAAACTGTTGTAACGATTTTATAACGGAAATGAGTTTGTGACGATTTTATTGTGATGTTTTATAAATTGTAACATTTTCGTCACAATAGAAAATTTGTGACGAAATATATATGTATTGTTACATAAAAAATTGTAACAATAATCAATTTTTTTTGTAGTGAAAGAAATACATAACTTTTTCAGAATAAGATGGCATTACTTTAGTATGGCATTAAGAGACTTATAATGGGAGCATGAAATTTATGAATAAGTATCTTTCTCTTTTACATGTAGAATTAGAAACACTTATATATGCTATGTATGATTGCAAATCAGAAGGCAACTATAACAGTGCAATAAACTATTCCGAGTTGTTGAAGATGGTTATTAATTACACTTGAGGAGTTAATTACTTTTACATTATACTTAGAAAAATTTTTGTGAAGAGTAAAAATATATTTTCTTTATTTTTTTCTATACATGTACTTAGCAACACAAAGACATAAAAGCTAATATAACACAAAGACATAAATGCTAATATAACACAAAGACAGAAAAGTTAGCACGAAATATTTGTGTCAATTTGGATGATATTTATTATCTATATAAATTCGATACTTCCAGTTTGGGTTTCTTGTTCTAATTTTTTTAGGTATTTAGGTTATTAACAAAAAAAAAATAATAAGAAGGAATATTTATTTATAGTAGTCACTTTTCTGGATTCATTTTAAAAATAAATACTAAAAAATTTATATAAGCAAAGAAACAATGAAAGCTTTAATCCTAGTATATAAAGATGTAATTTATCATAGCAAATCCATTTAAACTATTTGAAAATTGTAATTACCCCTTTGGCTCTCCATGCATACCATGCTACGGCCCCTGGTTTTGTAAGGGACAGATCAGCATCATATTCGTTTTTATTTCTCAAAGTATGGTTACAATTAGTGGGAAACTTACGACCCACTTGGTCTGACCCGAGTCTCTAAGTTTAAAATATTCCTGTATAATATATCTTGTTTATATATTACAGATCACATATGAATGACGAAATGACCCAAACAGCATACAAGTTATGGGTTTAGTACTATATTATTGATCTTTTATTATTATTTATATTTATTTATTTTTAATGTATATTATTTTTGCCTTTGAATACTTTCCCATCTTGATGATATATATCACCTTTTGATCTTAATTGAACGAAATCAATGTGAAAAGATATCTTCTGTTGAACTCATGGCACTTATAAATAGAAGCCCTCTTTTACGTTCTGTCTCTCAAGCAACTTTGCATCAAACTTAATTTTATAAGTTACTTTAGAGAGGAAAACACAAGATGGGTTTGATGCGATCGATCATTCCAAACGGGAAGCAACTTTTAAAGTCACAATCTTCGAAGAACAGAAAACAATCTCCATCATCACCAAATTTAGATTTTGTTCCAAAGGGCCATGTCGCAGTTTATGTAGGAGAACAAGTGGATAAGAAGAGGTTTGTGGTTCCCATATCGTACTTAAACCATCCTCTCTTCAGATATTTTCTTCGATGCGCTGAGGAAGAGTTCGGCTTCAACCACCCAATGGGTGGCTTGACGATCCCTTGTAAGGAAGAAACATTTTGTAGTTACTATCTCGTTGTTTCTCAATTGTATCGATGAGTATGTTGAATAGTAGATTTTTTCATCCTTCATTTAGGGTTTTGATGAAGCTTATTTCTCTTTAAAGCGATTAATCAATGACTACTACTTATTGTATGTATATGATAATTAATGGCATTAAAATGACTTCAATGTTTAAAGAAAGTTCAGATCATTTGTCTGAATACCCGCAGAGTTTTAAAACCTGCGACTATCCATTTTGATAATCCGAAACTAGAAGAAATTACAATACCATGAGAGTTGAGACTAGCGTAATCATATATTTTCTTAGAAACTATACGTTTAAATTTTAGGTAAGATAGATATTTATACACCATAATAACAAAGATGAACAACATAAACATATTTGGAAGGTGTGTGATTCAATCAACTTTGAAACATTAGAATAACTCAAAATTCAGCATCTTGATGGATTTTATGTATGTTGCAGAAAAAGAGAGGATCAAAAACCGATTCTGAACCAAAACGGGTCAAGATTGGATTTCTAGACCCGTCCCTAAACCCAAACTTGCAGCTTTCAATATTCTAAAACAATTTTGGTTCTTAAATTTTAAAAAATGTCTTTGGTCTAGTGACAAAATTATATTAAAAAATATCTCTTTAAAGAGGTCATCGATTTGAAAGTTAATATTAAAAAATATCTCTTTAAACAGCTAAATTTTTTGTTTTTTAGCTTGTGGTCTTCTAAAACTCTAAACCATATGTTTGCGGCTTTAACATAAGATATATTTTATTGCTCCGTCCAACTTTTTTGGAAAAAAACTTAGTAGTTGCGTAAGTGTTTTCGAGGTAAAGTGACTAGCTTTAGCTATACATTTAGAAACTTAATGTGGCAGCTTTAACTATACACTTAGGCCTTGTTTGTTCATCTGGATGATCCATCCAGATGATACAGTCAACTGATGTTCGTTTATGGCATAAAATCACTTTTGAATCAGTCAACTTGATCATTTAAAGTTATGACCAAAATTTTAAAATTAGTTGGCTGATCCGAATTGAACCAGCTGGATGAATTAGCTTCAGTCAAAATTTTATAATGACAAAAATACCCTTGAAAAAAATGAAAAATTACAAAACAAAAACCTAAAACCTAAATCTCCTCTCCTCTCTTCTCTTCTGCGACTCCTCTATTTCTCCGACGGCTCTTCCTTCAGACTCTATTTCTCCGGCCAGACAACTCTCTTCTGCAGCGTCTTCTCAGACTCTTTTCTTTTCTAACACGAGCTCACTCAGTCGACTCGTCTCTCTTTCTCCGAAGAAGCTTCAATCTCTCTCTCGTGTCAATCCAAGCTCAAGCTTTGCTTTCTCCGACGAGTCTCGTTTTTTTAAGTTCAGGAAAATGGAGCTTAACGATCAACACAAGAAAGGTCATGTGTTACACAAAGAGACGTGAAGAAAGTCAAGAGTACGGGGAGTGCGGGAGTGCTGAGCTGGATTATTTAAAGAAGAATGATGTGGCAACTATTGGTGGGACTTCTGAAGGAAAGTCTTGTGTATATCAAGGAGTATCTTTGGAGGTTGGTGTGAAAGATCTTGAAGATCTTAACATCTTGGAAAATGTATTCACATGCTCTTTATGAGATGTGATATATATTGGAGTGAAGGCCGCACGAAAAGGTCGGCCGTTCACGAGAGAAATATTCACTACAAGCTTAGAGAAAAAAATCTAGGGTTCTTGGTGAGTGAATTCAAAGTGTAACACAAGTGTGTTAGGGAATACTTGGGTAGATTAGGAATTGGTCATTGTCAAGAAGCTGTGTGCTTCGTCTTGAAATTCTGATTAAACAAGTCTGTAAAGATTGTTTAAGTGATTTCTAATAAAGAGTATAGTTCATAGAACATTTGTGTGCAACGTTCTATAAGTTTCTTTGTGTGAGGTTTTACATTTGGTATCAGAGCGGGTCACCTTTTTAGATTTTATAATCTATCTTCAAGTTGAGATCTTGAGGACATCATGGAGACTACCAAGCTGATAGCTGTTCATAAACAGTTACGACTTGAAGCGGGTACCTTTGGTCACTGGAAAGTACAGATGAAGCATGTCATCAGAGGGATTGATGAAGATGCATGGACAGCCATAGAATAAGGATGGAAACACTACAAGAATATTGCGTATTAATTGCGGACGAAAAACGCGATATGATAGCGATTAGTTAAACGCTTTATCATCGCCCACGATAAAAAGTCTGGCACTTTAGATAGCGTTTTTTATAAATGCTATGATATATATTTTTATCATAGCATTTTAATGTCTGCAATATATTAATCTACAATAGCATTTATTCAGTATTATGAATTAGCTATATAATAGCATTATGTAAATGTCATCTATATATTAAACATAGCAATCCTTAAATGTTATATATTTCAGTTGGTCATTAACAAATTTTTGTTTTTTCGACCCCAATTTTTTGAAAATATTAATTTAATTTAAATACATTTAATTTTAAAAGAAAAATTATAAAATATAAAAATACATTTAAATTTACATTAAATAACTTGAGGTTTACAAAGTGAAATTACACGAATCCTTCAACTTCCTAAGTACTAAACCAAAACCAAAAATAAAGAGTCTCAAAATAAATCAACAAACCAAACAGATCATAATCATTCATGGCATTAAGAGCAGACTGAACATCTTCCGCTGACTCGGAAGAGATGAAATCAAATCCCCAAGACCTCCCTTCAATACTTCTCTTGCCCTTTTGGCACCTCAGGGAATTTTAACTTTCACTCTTTTACCACCAATTTGCTACAAATCGAACAAATACAAAAGATCAGAAACAGTAGAGAGCTGAATTATCTTTGAACACTTAATGATGGAACTTACAGAGCTGTAAACATCTGAATCGCCTCCTTGGCTTTTTCAAACATAAACCCTAACTCAAAGCAAGACAGTAAAATTGCTGTTAAACATCTGAATCGCCTCCTTGGCTTTTTCAAACATCAACCCTAACTCAAAGCCAGACAGTAATATATAACCCAGATCTTAGATTAAAAACCTAATTCATGTACCTGAGACATATCCCTTCTCTCTTTCTCCTTCCTGACCTTGAATCGGGACTGAGACTCAATTCACCACGATTAAGAGTCTATGTTCCACATAGAAACGATGAATTTAAGAAAGTTCATGAGATCTGAGACATTATGATCCCGTCGGGCTTGGATCTAAATCGCCACCATAAACAGAGCATAGTTCTGAGGTGTGGGTGTTTTCAGTGAAGCTTTGCTTTGCTGTTTTCGTCGTTAAAAGAGGCACAAGAGGGGAGAATGAGATGAGGAAGAGAAGTGAGCGACAGAATTAGATTTGAATCTACCTACAGCTTCGCCGTTGTCGTCGTTAATCTATCGGATAGAAAGAAAAAGAGAGGAAGGAAGTAGCTCTCGAAACTCAGAAAAAAGGAAGTGAGAATTCTGCCATGTCATCGATCCCTTCTCTCTTGCTTATAATCGAAAGCAGAGGAAGGAAGATTCGGAGAGGAAAAAAAAAAGCAAAGGAAGAAAGTATCCTAGGGTGTGAGAGTGTGCCACGTAATCAATCCGTAACATCTCTCCAGATTGGTTCTCATCTTCTGAAGACTATTTTTTCTCTCTTGTCCTAAATAAAATCGTTTTATTTACTTTAGTAATAGAAAATGGTTTATAAACATAAGTTTGTAATAATTTTATTTATTGAGATTATGATAAGTTCTTGGGTTTGTATGTCTATATTCATTTTTCAAGCACTTAATTTTTATTGCGATTATTATCATTTGTTATTGTGTGAATCATAAACCCTATACTCCAATGCCCTAAACCCTAAACTTTAAGTGTGAAATAATTGTTTATTTAATAATTTTTTATTTGAGAAATAGAAACATATACCTATACAATTATGAATACCTCTCTAAAATCAAAAACTCATTAATCTATGAAAAAATAATTATATTTCAAACTTTATATCCTTATACCCTAAACCACAAACTATATGTCGTAAATTCTAAATTAAAGACCCACTAACTTTTCATTCTTATTTTAATTTTAAAATATTTCATGAAACAAAAATTTGTTTTTTTATTTTTTAATTGAGAAATAGAAAAAAAAAATCTCACAATGGTGAATCTCTAAACCTTAAATTAAACACTCATTAATTCATAAAAATTTATTATATATATTGTTAATAGCACTTAAACAAATTATATTTCAAACCTTATACTTTATACATACCTTAATCATATGCCCTAAACTCTATATAAAAATGAATATCCTTTGTTTTAAAAAATAATTAATTATTGGTTGTGTATTGTTCTTTTTATTGATTTTGGATAGCAATATATATATATATATATATATATGGAATACATAAGTTTCATTATAAACGAGAAGTGACAATGAGCTGGTTCATTATTAAAACTTGGACTTAACCAAGGTGGTGGAGGAATGGATACAACTTGAATAAAATTGTAGATTCGGAGGCCCTTCCTTGGCTACACAATGAGCTGGTTCATTGTATCATCTTCTTGTGCTTTGAAAACTGTGGTATTGATACTCTGATTATACAGTGGGTTTCTTTGGAAGTTTTGCGGACCGCTTCCTCCTCCTTGACGGAACCTATCAGGTCTTGATCTGTAATGTGAAATTGGAGGTGGCCTGTGTGTGATCACAGAACAGAGACAGATTCCTGTCCCAGCTCCAACAGCAAGAACAATCTTGTCCTTGATCAGCTCCAAAGAGGTCTCAAGTTTCTCTTGGCCACCAACATCCCAGACTGTGAACATCACATTCTTGTACTAAACTTTTTCAACATTAAATCATGCGTAACAAAGTTTTAAAACTGTCAAGAAACATATATTCCAAGCAACCAAAGCAAAATGTACAAAAATGACCATACAAAAGTATACTCTCGGAAGAACTGATAACAGAAAGTATCAAAACTGCAAATGACACAAGTGAAATTCACAGACATGACCTATGGATTCAGAGTCTAACGTCTTTAATAGACTGAATTTAACAGCTCCAAA